TATGTCCACAAGACCTATGAACCATAAATAGTAAGTGCCACGTGCAACGTAAACTGTCACGTGACCATGAAGCGCTGAAACCGTAACAGTCTTCAAGATGCCCCAAATTAACTGATTGACTTCGCATGGGATTCTACATCGCGGTCACGGAATTTTGACCTTGCAGCCCGCTCGCAGATATGACGACATTGCCCTCGTACTCCATGTCAATGCTGCACATTCTGGGAAGAACTGATGTCGTCGTTGTGCAGGAACGGTCGAGGACTCTTACAGACATGTAAGCTGTTATGTATAGTGGCCTGAGGTCGAGAGAGCATGGACGGCCGGTGAAGGGGGGGGGGCTCGAAATAGTACACTAGCTCGTATGTTCTCCCTACATCAATGTATTTACAATGCGACTACAATAGTATACATGACGTCGGTGATATTGGACTGCATGCAAACTGAATGAAATATATTGCACACATTGGACGAGTATCCCCATCGTCGCCACACAACGGAGTAATATATATTACTACATTTACTTTGTGCCGCACTCTGTCGTACGCTGTCACATTCATGGAAAACGACAATGTGCTCTGTTGTACACTGTTGTACCTGCGGGAGATGACAGCATATGATATACAGGGGAAGTGGTGACACGGCTACCGATACGACATTGCCGATGTCGTACGATGTTGGTGGCAGGCATCTTCCTGATGTAGGGCCATGGGCAGCACCCTTGCCAGCCCCAGCACTGCTGAAAACTTTTTGTCCCTTCTCCCCTACACCTACCTCAGATACAAGTCTATAAATGCCAGTGATCAGGAGAAGCTGGCGTAGATGATGTTGGCTGATGCTGCTCTCATCGGGCTGCCTGGCACTGGTGTAGGATGGTCGAACTGTCAGGAGTATGCCTGGCTCTACTCCAAGATTACCGGCGGATGATGGACGGAGAAGACTGCCGTGACCGTCGGTGATTTCATGCAGTTCTTTGCTGAGGAGACGGTCACTGGCATAAAAAAGGGAGTGATTGCCTTAGCATACAGATTTGGTAACCTATTCTGATTTCTCTGTTCTGCACGACTTGCTAGGTAGGGTCAGATGCTCCATAACAGTAGCCTATTGCATCGGGTGGGGTGCACAATGCATGCAGGACATTTTCTCTCCCTAGTTCCATAGTCGAACACAATCATTATGCATGCTCGTGAATTTTTCTAAATACCGCTTTGTATGCCTCCTGCTGTTCTTATGTTGTATGTCTACACAATGCCTCTCACGTTTGAGGGTGCATAAGCGCTGCTTTAAGGTCTTAAGACATAGATATGTGGTCTTTGCATAGGCTACGTAAAGTGCGCCCATATAGAAGAAGTCTCGATGCAAGATGGTCTGATGCACGGTCGAATCGGTGATACGAACCAAATTCTGGATGAACCACAGGGCCATACAGACTTGCCGAATATGTCACAATGAACAGCGTCATCACCTGCAGATTGGTAAGTAAGTTGCATGCTTTGCCAAGTATGTGTCATCCGACGTTCAGCACCGCCTTCGAGTCCAGCAGCTGCAGGCAGGTAGACATGCTGACAACTGCCGTGCGGGGAACCAAGCACAGGGGGAACACATTGGTTTTCATAACGGGCCTATTGCCACATTTGTTCGTCATGAAGATGTAGGTGCCTGCTGGAAGCTTTTCAAACGACAGTATGAAATTAAGCATTGCCTTCAGGGCTAGTCGATAGGCACAGTGTACGACTGCGGGAACGAGATCAGAGAAACACATTGCATTAGTACCGTTCCCTCCTGAGCTATTATGAGACAGTCGCCTGCCCATTTGGGACCGCCTGTAGACTCATCTCCATGAGTCTCGTCATATTCATCTTTCCCATGATGAAGTCCTTCCAAAATTGAATAGCTGCCACAAGCTCGTTGCGCCCTTGGAGTATGGAGTCTACACCAAGCTCGCTTAGGACGTTCGCGATTTCTGGTTGGCTTGCTGCCGACCGAGCAGAAGCCATGGCGCATGTGTGGGCATCGTTCTGGCTGAGCAGCTCTGCATATAGCAATCTCATCTTCTCCAGCCTTTTGACCGCCTCCTGCACGACGTAGACATTGTCTGGGTCATCGAGAGTGAAGGATTCGGACAAAGACTCTTGGATGTGATCGTAGCCATGGGCTTGCCCCAGATTGGTGCAGTTGGAGGGCGAATGGCCCCAATGGGCCAGGGCGTGTAAGATGTCACCTACATGCGAGTGTGATTTCGACCTCGTGTGCGCCCTGTCAGAGGCCTCAGCCAGCCGCTGCTGCTGCATCCTCGCAACATGTCTGCTCATCATCACAGCCATGACCACAAAGGCCATCTGCTCACCTGCCTCCTGCACTGCCCAGTCACGTGCAAAGTGCAGCGCCTCATCGTGCATCCAGTCCTGGGGGGAAGTCCTCCGGACGAGGAGCTGGAGGTAGGTCACAACTGGGCATATACGGTCCTTGTGGAGCCAGTCCACACACTCATTGGCCAGCAGCCACTCTGGGTACTGGCAATCAAAGTCGAGATCCTCTCCTTTCAGCTGCTTGTGGAAGGCACTGGAGTTGCCCAAGAGCACGCTCGCCGACATTACAGTGGCTCTGGTCGAGGACTGCTTGAACCTGGCATCAAGCCAGCGTGCGATGCCGAAGACCTCGGCAGCAGTGACCAGAAGCTGCGGCAGCATCGGCGGGCCATCTCCTGGGCATGGGAGACAGAGGGATGGGGTGAGTTCTGGGTCTGTCCAGAGAGCTTTGACGTCGTCGAGACTGGCAATCCTTTTAGCCAGTGTTGAGAGCCTCGTATAGACTTCGTCTTCAACAGTCATTACCGATGCACTGTTCGTGTGCGTATGTGTGTGGTAGATAAAATGACGAGCGAGCGAGTTGAGCAAGATGAGCACCAAGACGCAAAAAGCATTCGATGTAGGTGGTTGGTTTGGAGAGATTCGGGACGTAAGAGATCACTGGTGTAGGGTATTTTAAAGGAGTCAAACCATTTGTCACGCTGTGCAGTCAGCTATCAGGCGATAAGGGCCACTAACTGACGTGCATCATAACTCTTAGCGCTCAGTTACGGACGACGCAGAAATGTGACTGGTGTGATGTTAGTGTGACATTGCGTGACAGATGAGTCCCCGGAACATTTGCTCTAGCTGTGCAGTAAGCGCGCGTCTGGCCTACTTCCTGCTTGGTGATGCCCCTTTAGGCGACAAACAGTACTTTCTTGACTTAATGTGTCTTGTCGTGCCGCTTAGAACAATATGAGCATACCGTGTTCATTCACCTCTGCAGAGACCCTCCATGCATCCTAATCAGTGCACTCCAAGTCGAGTACCCACTTGTCATGCTCAACATTGACGACGACAAGATCGGTCTCCTCAAGGCTTAGACCGCTAGAGAGCTCAACATCACAATCGTCACATACTCCCCTTTCGGGCACAGCTCGCTGATCGGACAATATGTCAGTTCACCTTCCGTTTCCCGCCTTCTTCTGGCCGTTTGATGCTGACTAAAGAATCAAACTGCAGAGACCTCCTGCGAGGATGATTTCAGATACACGGTGCTGCAATATGTGACTGGACTGCCAATGGCTACATGCTCAATTGGACTGAGTATACTCGTCTTGACAGATACTCGAAGGAGAACTTTCCGAAGATCTTAAAGCTCACCGATGGGCTAAAACAACCTGAAGTGCGGCGCAATACCACAGCAGGACAGGTCTCGCTCTCATGGGTTCTCGCACAAGGGCTGGACATCATACCTATTCCCATTACGACAAAGATCAAGATGTTTGCTCTCTTCGTGGGCAAACAGGAGCAAAGAAAGTTGCTGATCTTGACCCACTCGAGCATCTGAAAGAGAATTCGGCGCAGCACATATGAAGCTTATATTGGTCAAACATGCTCAGGAGTGGCATCCCAAGATGTGTCGAAGAGTTGCGCAGCGAGTAATTGCTAACCGTGAGAAAGATTGAGAGGTCTTCGTCCTCTCAAGTTCCACAAGTGTGATCACGGCACACTGATTGACCTTCCTGCTCATCGGCGATGACGTAGCATTCGCTTGCACTCACGGGATGACTTCGGTCGTGGTACACTCGCCATGCTGCTTAGTTCATGGGTTTTTATAAAATCAACAACGTCGTGATGGAAATTCTCGAGTACTAGATTGTTGGCATGCGCATTCTAGATATATGGAGCGAGTAAGTGATCCTGCCGTTGATCAACTCGCTCCCCTACCTGCTTCAATCATGCTGCCATGTCGCTTAAGTTTCTCTCCTGGTTCTTCTACGTGTTGCCGCCTTGCTCTCTTCGTTGCGTGATATGTTTGGACATTGCAGAGATCATAAACTATGACTATTCGAGTAGAATTGCATTACAATGATATTCTTGCAATCATAGGCCAGATCTCATAATCATTGTCAAAAATCATAAACTATCCTATGCACCCTGAACAGGATTATAATGCGTGATAATCGCTCGCGGCAATTCATCCGAACGGCCGACCTTACAAGCCACTATAACCTTGAGGAGGGGAGGGGGGGTCTTGTACCGATATATGTTATAGTAGTAGGCCAAAAGGGTCATGGTAAATTACCTTGCGACTGCAAGGTTTCTCCCGGGGCACAATTGTGACGCGATTTTGGCGCAGGCAAAGTTGGCCTTGTTTGTGTCCTTCCATGCCCTTCTATTCCTTACCATTTTCGTTCAGACACACTCTGCCCTGTTGCCACTGACGTCATTCGGTATATTATAATATAGCTGCACATCTTCTCCGTGCATTATATGCATTAACTGCATCTTCTAGTTATACTGATCTCTTTCGTTGTCGTTTCCTGCCCACCTGTCAATGGTCTGGAAAATCATTTCACATATTATATACTGTATGCATTCCTCTGTCACACATACTGCGTATCATTCCTGAGCATCGTCCAGCACGCTGTTGTCTCTTGAGCTTGAATGATGATCCTTCGCACTAGTCATTCATCTTCGATGGACAATTTGCTCGTTGTGAGGCTGATGGAACATTTCCTCATCGAGATCCCTCAATATCCGTATGATTATGTCCATGCCGAAGCTACGCGAAAGTGCAATGTAGAGGTTGAACAGACTACTAAGCTTTCCTGCCGAAGGCTTCGCGATATCGATGAGAACATATAAAACTGTTTGCTCTTGAGAATGGTAATCCGTCAAAGCGCGTCTCTCATGATCACTTGTTACATGCCAGTTCTTCACACATATTCTCTTAAACATACTAATCTATACTAATTCAGCCAAAAAATCCTCATCATTAGACTGTCTTCAACATTCAACACATCTCTACCACAATCATCCTTCATCCCTGTAGCTCTCACCTTCAGTCGCAAGGTCTGCTGCCGGCGACATATCTCATCGATACTATCTTGAAAGCCACACGTGCGCTCCCGCCAAGCCATAGTTACGCGTTGCCTTGCGCCGCCTCTTTCTTGCCTTCCACCACCGCCACGACCATCTCCCTCTGTGCTTCACGGTGTTCTCTACTTTGCATTTCATGTCGAGCCGTGCGCTTGCTCATCATTCGGGACGATGCCGCCGGTATCTCGCAGAGCACACCCTACTCTACTAAGACACGTTGATAGAGCGCGATAACAAACCCTTCTTCGTACGCGTCTCAGTTTGTGCTGGTCACGCTGACCCTCGATAGTACCCTCAAATTGCGCCACCGCACTTCTGGTCGGAATATCGCCGGTGCATGCCTGGGAGGGTGGAGCTAATACAGGGTATAAAACGGCCGTTAACAGGCTGGCAGACCTCTTCCCGAACGCCCTCTCGCTGTGTCTGCATAGTGCTTCCGGGCTGGGCCTTGGTGCTGTAGAACGGTTCACTCTTTGCCTCTGATCTATCGACTCTCTGTCTGGGCGTGTATATGTATGCAGCGTTGTGTAGACCTCGCTGCAGACCGGTCTGTTATCGTTGACTGGACCCATCAACATTCAATTGCTTCGCTTTCGCAAGCGATCATACGCAAGCCGTGCATGATGGGGTTCACGAGCTCTGGCGATATACGAATTCTCCCATCGGATATCTGAATGGTTCTATCTCGAACAAACTCTACGACGTGTGTGATGCGGTAGACACGAAGGGCCAAGGCGGCTGCGGGATGTCACAAAGGGTGCGTGAAGTCACATCTGATGGAGTTTTGTCCTTCTACGTGATCATCAATTTCGGTCGTCGAGTGATACTGCAGAACAAGGATTTCGTTTGGACAGGTCAGATCATGCTTTGATTACGCAATGTTGAGAAGCAGGCATTCTGATGTCCCATACCCTTTACCCATCAACTCATAGGAACAGACGCAGCTGCCGGCCTTGCAGATGCCGCGCACACATGCATCAGCATGCGATAGAAGTGTAAGCAGAAACTTTAGGGCGCTCATTACGTACTTGAGCGGCAAGTCAAGGACGTGCTACTCGGCGCCCGCGCCAAATGAAGGTGAGTATCAATACTCGTTCCCACCTTCGGACACTTCACTTAGCGCTACGCGAATTTACTAGATTTACTGGCGGGCATGCGGCATGCGCATGGTTTTGGATACTCGTCCTATGCCGTTGTACGTTCCTTGTACCGTAGCGCATACGACAATACAAGACATTGTGCTGGAACAGTGCTCTGAGATATTCGTCGGCCAGTCGCGTGAACACCAGCGTGACACCATAGAAAGGTATTTCCAAACTCTACCCCTTCTTCTTCTACGCTGAGCGTAATAGCCTCCACTTAGAAACAACCGCTGCCGAGGTCGCGTATTGAACCCGGTCATTCCCTTGCTTCGATAGTTGCCCATGATCAACCACGGAGGCCATGACCTTATCGGATAGAGTATGGATATTGACTTTGGGGTCCATCATAGACGCGTTTTTAACGCGGACTTGCGATCTGCGCTGAATCTCCCATTCGATGCCATGCTCGCTTCTCCAACTATTGCCCCGTCAAGCTGCACACTCATGCCTTCTTGTATGTGATTTGTCCACCGTCATGCGAGAGCTAACCACATATTGATGTACCATCTAGAGTGAACACCGTTCTAGCCAATCCACCGCTTCACAAATCGGTTATGCCGAAGGGTGGGCTCAGTTTAGACTTCGACTTGCGGGCGAACTCGGGGCATTTCACACGGAGCTGCTAGCCAACCATTCAGTACGGAGGTTCTTCCTCGTCATGCTGATGTCAACGATCATCTTTCGCGGTCGAGATGGGTCTCATGCCCATTCCCCGGCGGTTCCTTGGCGGTTCCAGTAGGGTTCGACGATGTGTGTAAATGTCTGTTTGGCTGCACCGGCGATTGCCGAAGTGACGCTCCTGAACCTTCCTGAACCTGGGCTGTGTTCGCCTCTGCGGGGCTTGCCTCTTCTGGCAGAACCGTCCAGTTTTCTGGTGGGCCGCATTGGGACGAGATCGATATGTGCGTGCGCAGGTCGTCAGAGGTCGTCGGGCTCCACCGTACAAATTCCAGGCTGGCCCCATGGGCCCCCGCACCACTTGCACCCGAGTCTCCCCCTCCCACGGCATCTCTGCTTTGGACCATCACTATCCACACCCGCTTATCCATCTACACAAATGCCTGCTATGATTCCAAAACTAAACCCCGTGCAAGAGCCGGTGGTCGTCCATGAAGCCCTCGATACCACGTTCACGGGCATCGTCCATCCTATATCTACCCCTGACGCTCCCGTTCACCAATTCCGCGGGATCAAATACGCTAATATTCCAGCACGCTTTCGCCAGTCGAGATTACACACTTCATATCCCGCACAGACTGACGCAACTCATTTCGGGTGAGCATACCTCCCTTCATCTTTGTTCCGGCCTGAGCGTCTAATTCATTTGTTGCAGCCCAATATGCCCTCAGCCGAGATATGATGGCTATGAAGCTGAACTCTTTGGCATCCCTGCCGACGAGCTTCCTCATCAAAACCTAAAACAAAGTGAATTTGGATGTCTCAACTTGAACATCACACGGCCTGGAGATGCAACCCCCGACTTGAACCTGCCAGTTATGGTATGGGTACATGGGTGAGCACACTGCGTACTGGAGTAAGGAGGTTCATCGACAGGAGATGTAGCGGCGGCAATCGCGGCTCCGGATCGAGCTGGGTATATGATGGAGGATCTCTCGTACAGAAAAGCATGATTGTCGGCAAGCCAGTCATCATGGTGTCCTTCATGTACGTTCTCCTTTGCATATGTCAGATGTTGCGCGCCATATTCACTCTGAACTCAGTTACCGGCTCGGCTTGCTCGGCTTCGCAGCTAGTCCCGCCTTGCGTGAGGACAACAAGGCTGCAGGAGACGAAGGAGTTGGTAATTATGGTACACCTGTTGTTTCTCTAATCCTGTCAGGCTACCGTTCTGACATTGCTCTCAGGCCTCCGTGACCAGCGGAGAGCCCTCGAGTGGGTTTATCACTTCATCCCAGAATTTGGGGGCGACCCGTCGAACATCACCTTTTTCGGGGAGTCGACGGGCGCGGCCGACATCGTCTGCCACCTCCATTCCGCCGCGAACGAAAAGCACCCGCTGTTCAAACGTGCGATTATCCAGAGCGCAATCGTGGAGTGTGAGGTCCCCACGGTGCACGCCGCTGGAGCGCAGCTGTCGAAATATATGTCTGCGCTGTGCCTTCACAGCATCGACGACCTGCGGGTAGTGGAGGTTGAGAAGCTCGTCTCCGTTGATCAGCATCTGCGAGCGACGAACGACGGGACCTTCTTCTGCAGGCACTTCACGGGCTCGTTAGTCCTCGATGAACAGCAGGAGCATCATCACCATCCATATGTACACCTCTCGTCTAACCTCCGTCATGATGATCACGCTATCGAGGACAGCCGCGGTCTACAGGTGCTAAGGCATTCCCACTGGCTGCAGAGCTCAAATCGCTTGCGTGTATCGTCTCGCTCACGGTCGCGGCCTCGGCATGCGCACATGTGTCACCAGTCCATCATGATCGGCGACTGCAGTGACGAGTCCCTGCTCTGGTCACTTACTGCATCCCTATGGTCAGCAACTGCGGTCGAACGGCGCGTCCGCGCGATCTGCCAGTCATTGAGCAAGGCCAACGTACTTCTGCGGGCGTATGACATTCACCCACATCTGCCGCCAGATGAGCTTCACGCACGAGTACTGGAGCTCATCAACGATTCGCGGTTTGCATGGCCGACGGAGTGCATCGCGGCCTGCGCAAAGCGAGAACGCGGCGGTAAGGGAGTGTGGAGATACGTGTTTGATCAGGAAGGCCCTGCCCGGGGCGTCCCGCACCATGCAGTCGACCTCATATACCTCTTTGACAATGTTCCGCAACCAAGTCCGACTCCAAAATGTTCGTCCAAGCCCACCTGCATGCCTGCGATATGCCCTGCGATATGCGACGCAGATGACGAGGACGAGGACGCAATGCGTCTTATACCCAAGCGAGTCGAGGAGCCGTCAGACTCGGACGACGCTGAGGCCAGCTCAAGCTCTGACTCGGACGTTTCCACGGATAGCGGGTACTTCGAGGACTGGGGCGTTCCCGCCGTGGATACCTACGCCTACACGCGTGTACGCGACGCGGTGCAGGAAAGATGGATCACGTTCGCGTATGGCGAGTCGCCGTGGCGTGAGGATAAGGTGTACGTCTTCGGGCCGGAGGGGGAGGTCGGCGAGCGATCGATGAGCATCTTCCAGGGTCGTCGGCGGACGCAGCTGTGGAAGGAGGCGCTCGAGCCGCTTGGGATGCCCATTGTCCAGAAGGTCGGCACGGAGCTGTGCAACGGTCCTCCTCTCCCGTCGTGTGGGAGGTTTTGAAACGGAAGATACCCTTCGACAAGTATTTCCGTGATGCATATTGTTCTGAAATGCTCTGTTATGCCTAGGTTTTCACTCCTCTATCTCGCATGTGATCCACCAGCATCTATGTTTTCGATTGCACTCCCCATCCTGATTTATTTGTATGCCATATTTTTCTTCCATCAACAACATATTTCTCTAGCGTATACGTTTTGGAATGTATCAATTAGCTCGGAAGGTTCAGAATATACAAGTAATTCTGTTTGTATGCGATCAGCCTGAGCGGCTCTGCTGCTGTGGCCGTCCCAGTTCAACGGTGCACCTACATGCTCACAGTCCACGTGCTCTGCTTCTCCTACGGCGTAAGCTGCACACAAAACGTATTCCTTATCCGCTTACCAGGACGCATTCGTCGGGCACGGAAAATGGCCTATAGTAGGACTTAACGACTTCTTGCCGTTTGCATGAGCTTTCAGAAGGAACGAGGAGGATTACATGCTCCCAGTGAGGTGTGAACTCAAGAAGCGCATACATTGTGTGGTTGATAAGGCCCACTCTAACGCGGCATGGGGCGCTCGCCGCTAAGCGCATACAGTCACCACCTCTGCCTCGGACGTTTCGCATCAAGTCCATTCTTTCCAACATACGGGCGATTGTATCATCTTGCACGAAGCCAGTCCAAGTTCTCGGATATTCAACACAACTCGGAGACTTCGTGTTACGAGATAGGGTCTTAGTGGGAGATGGTCCGCCGGACTGCTACTCTCGTGCATTACAGGTTAGTGGTATATTGAGTGTAAGTTCGAGAGCAACAATCCTCAATGGATTCATGGACGCGACGCAGCGCGACGAGGACGCGAATACACCAGATCACATGGTCGCGCTAGATCATGTGCATCTTTTTTGACAGATCGCGCAAGCGCCTCCTTTTTCTTGGGGTCATATTGGGTTACTCGGCGCAAAAAATGATGTTACGCCTCTTGACTCGTCCCATCCGCCCCTCCATCCCCTTCGCCCGCAGAATGATGGCCTCCACTCCAGATTTTGTGAGTATATTTTTTTCGACCATTTCCCAACATCCCGGACTCACCAAAGACGCAGAACAAGCCCTTGTACGTTCCTTTGGCCGAGATCGACCCTGAAGTACAGAACATCATCGACAAAGAGACATGGAGGCAATACTCTGGGCTTGAATTGATTGCCTCTGAGGTCTGCATTCTCATTTGCGTGCGCTGGTCTGCTCTAGTGACGCGGCACGAGCAGAACTTGACAAGCCGCGCTGCGATGGAAGCTAACGGCTCGATCCTCACCAACAAGTATTCCGAGGGTCTTCCAGCCGCGCGTTACTACGGCGGTAACGAGTGGATCGATGAGCTTGAGGTCCTCTGCCAAAAGCGCGCACTTCAGGCGTTCCATCTTGATCCCGCGAAGTGGGGTGTCAACGTCCAACCTTACTCTGGCAGCGTGCGTCTATCCCGAACTAACCCCTATAGTAGCCCTCTAATGACCCTGCGTATGGACTCGCGCCATTAGACTGCAAAGTATGCCCTCGTACAACTTTGCTCCCCCCCAGCATTCAGTGTTGACGTGCGATCTGCAGCTTTGCCGCTCTAACGGCGCTCCTCCAGCCTCAAGATCGCCTCATGGGGCTCGGATTGCCTGATGGTGGTCACCTGACCCATGGTTATTATGTGCGTTCAACGTTTGCTTCTATGCCCGGGTGGCGTCATGTCATTGCGATGCGGCCATTCACGTACACGCTCGGAGCTGACGTGATATTCTCCAGACCGCAAAGAAGAAGATGACCGCGTCTTCGATCTACTTCCAGTCGCTCCCGTACGGGTTGGATCCCGAGACACAGCTGATCGACTACAAGAAGCTCGCAGCGCAGGCCAAGCTGTACAAGCCCCAGCTCCTGATCTGCGGTGCATCGGCATATCCCCGTGATTGGGAGTACGACAAGCTGCGCTCAATTGCGAACGAGCATGGCGCATTCTTGATGGCGGACATTGCACACACGAGCGGTCTTGTTGCCGCGGGTGAGCTCGCGGATCCGTTCCAGTACTGTGATGTTGTCACCACGACGACGTGAGTGGCACGCGTTGTGGGAAAACAATGACACTCACCGCGCCCCACAGACACAAGACACTTCGTGGGCCTCGTGCCGGCCTGATCTTCTACAAGAAGGATAGCGACAAAACCAAAGACCTCGAGAAACGTGTCAACGACGCTGTGTTTCCCGCGTGCCAGGGTGGTCCCCACAACCACGTTCGTCTATTTCATCTCCGGATGATTCCATTCATATCTGAACACCGCTTGTCCTGCAGACAATCGCTGCGATCGCGACAACGCTTCTGCAGGCATGCCAGCCCACGTGGAAAGCATACGCGAAGCAGGTCATCGCCAACGCCAAGACGCTCGGTGAGGTGCTCGTCTCCAAAGGGTACAAGCTGCAGACACAGGGCACGGACAACCATCTTGTCCTCTGGGACCTCCGTCCGCTTGGCCTCACGGGCAGCAAGCTCGAGAAGCTCTGTGATCTCGTTGGCATCACCATTAACAGTATGTACAAATCACATGCTTGTAGGCCGATCAATTCTTTATTGCCTTGCAGAAAACGCCGTTTCCGGCGATGCTTCCGCGCAGGTTCCCGGCGGTATCCGTCTTGGAACGTCTGCAGTGACATCGCGCAATATGCTCGAACCTGATATCAAGATCGTCGCCGAGTTCCTGCATCGCGCCGTGCAACTCGCTCTCCTGCTCCAGAAGGAGGCGGGCAGCAAGCTGCTGAAGGACTTCGTGCGTGTCGCGAGCACTGAGGAGGAGGGCAAGGAGGGCGCACGCATAGTGCGCGAGCTGCGTAGGGAAGTTCGGGCGTTCGCGCGTAAGTGGCCGGTCCCTGGCGTGGACGTCTCAAAACTCGTGCGCCCTGCTGGCATCGAGGAGGATGATTGAGTGGTTTGCTCCGGACGTGACTTAGGGCGTGCGTTCGTAGTTTGTTTGACGGTGGGATCTCAGCGCTGTATCTTAGAGGTAAAATAGGCGGGCGTTCAACATTGCCCGGCCGCCCAGGCGTCTCAACATTGCCTAGGTGTAGTTGTATACTAATGAAGAAGCCTTCCACAGGTGTATTAGCATGAATAGATACCTCTTTATGAACCAGGGACGATATGGAGTGTTTAGGACCGTAGCTGCGGTGAGTCCAGAACTTCACATGGCGCAGTACTGGGGGCGCAAGTTTTCGAGGTTGTTGAAATTGGGCGCGCAATCGCAAGTCCCTCCGAGTGCAGCTGGTCTCGGCCGAGATTCAAAGCTGAAGTTCAGCCAGTGTGGTTTTCTTTCGTGACGTTGCTGATTGGTTCTTGAGCGCTCCTACGAATTTATCTATCTACCGGCCAACGCTGGGCCTAGCAGCCACTGCGGATGGCAGATACGATGGATTAACAGGGTTTGCCGACACACACAGAAACGAAGAGCGAGCTCGACATTTTGTCGGAAAATGGCTTCATTCGTCAAAGCGATGGCGCTTGCGCTTCGTCTCGCAGGGCGGGAGTATGGTCGTTAAACTAATTGACCTTCTCTGCTAGAAGCGCTGATGCCAAATGGCGAGCCGAAGGATTCCCGCAGCCGGCTAACTTTTGGGGACAATGGTCGAAGTGTTCTTTCGACTAGCCTGCTCCAATGCTCCACTTCATCACTGCTGCGCAGCAAAATGGAGGGCGCTGCGCTTCCCTGGCGACGAGGTATTGTTTCAGCCTCGGGCAGCTCTTAAAGTCGGTACGGTTTGCTCGGTGTCCGCACTCCCTCTTGCACAGAACAGCTTTGGAGCCAGGCGCTCTTGTTCTCTTCTTCACCAACCAGGATAGCAACTTGTCTGTATAGACGTCCTCCTGTCCCTACGCTCTATATCGACATCACTCATCCTCGCATTCGCATTCGCATCCCCTCCCTTGCATTTGTATCACGATATAGCACATCTCATCCAACATGACTCGCTTTGCATCTGCATTTGCTCTTCTCACTCTTGCGGCCGCCCTCCTCTCCCCGGCGAGCGGCGCGCCTTTCGCGCTCAACGTACGCGCAGACTCCAGTAACTGTACAGGTTGGCATTGCGTTATTGTTGCGCATGCAGTGCTGAGCTCACATACGACCGATTAGCTTCCGCGATCGCTAAGCGCCAGATCGAGAACGAGGCATGGTCCTCTGTCGCCTCTTCGCTCGCCTTTGCGACTTCCACCGCGAGTGCCGCCGGTAGCACCGCTACAGGCTTCAACACGACCGGTACTGGCTCGGATGGCAACTGCACTGGCTCAGCTGGCGGCACGAACAGCACCACCGGCTCGGATGGCGGTACGGCAAACGGGACCCTCCCGGGATCGGATGGCGGTATGGCGAACAGCACCAGCAGCTTCTCTCCAGCCGCCACCGGTAACTCGACGACGGGTACGGGCAGCTCGAACAGCAGCGTCGCGACGGTCACCGTCACCGTCACTGCCTCAGGCGCGTGTGGCACCGGCGACTCGTCCGGGAGCTCTACCGCGTCGGGTTTGGTGAGCGGCGTGTCGTCCGCTGCCGCTACTGCCACCGCGACCGACGCAACTGGAGATACTTCTGCCACTGCTACTGCGACCGACGCCGGTGATACCTCTGCTACGGCCACCGCGACCGATGCAGCTGGAGATACCTCTGCCACTGCAACCGCGACCGATGCAGCTGGGGATCCTTCCGCCACTGCCACTGCGACCGATGCCGCTGGCGACTCGTCCGCTACCGGTACCGCCGACTCTTCCGCGACTGCGACAGGCTCCATTGCTGCCGCAACCTCCGATGCAGCGGCAACTGCGATCAGTTCCGCCGACGGTTCTGCATCCACAGCCGTCTAAGCTGTGACTACGTGCGATAGAATCCATGATGAGCGTTGGTCCTTTGGCCCTTCCGTCGCGGCAGAGGTTGCCAGCGCGTCGCGCTCGCCGCGACGATCTGGTGATGTGCGTACGCGTCTTTGGTCGTTTGCTTAAGCGATACCGACGTGTTATGCTTATAGCTGTAGACATCGCAAGGAAGATAGTATTGCAGCAGGGACTGCTTCAAGTGACGTTGTGTAGTGCAGTGCATGTATATACAACACGCGTACGAATAATTTAGATTGGGCGAAGTTGCTCACGGTATTCTCGGTTGCGCACGTCCCCCGCGATTTAATTCTTGAAGTCCGTTCAGCTATACACTAAGCTGATCATTACATATGATGAACGTCTCCTACTGGAAACGATGGTAACGTGTCACATCGCGGCCGCCACGGTGAGTCGCGGTTGTGACAATACGTGCTGACTTGAGCGCCTCTTCAATCATAGTGCGCTTCCTGCTCGACGAAATTGAAAGGTACTCGACCGGCACCTTGCGGCGTATGCAGCGACGATACAGGCTTGTTTTTGAGTATTCTTGGCTCTGTCCAGCGTTGTCGTTGTTGAACACACGCGAAGTCAACAGCAGAACTTTGCATCCGGCGCGCTTGTGTTGAGCAAAGTCTTAAAGCTTGAAGGCTTCACTCGGATAATACTCACCGCGGCCCCCGAACTTAGGAGTGCAAGTCGATGTGAGACTGGTGCTTAGTATGCTACGAGGGCAACTGCTCGCTGTCGCCACATCGCTCGCCACGTTGATACATGAGGTGAGTATTCAGCTTCCCATCACTGTCTGGGAACTTGTAGCTAAGCTTGAAAGACACAGGCTTCAAAGGACGAGAGGGATAACCACCTCCATTCCGCTACATATATGCACAGCAAACCGGGCTTAATCGCTCAAGTGACTGCTGCTTTCGAATAAACAAGGAGCACCTGCTGAACAACTCCATACGCCGTCGCGATGACCGCGCATGATCGTCCAAGTAGCAGCATATAAGTCTTTCTCGATATCCTTGACACCTTCACTTCTCGAATTCTCTCCATATCTCTGAAATCAACGCCACTCCATCCCACCATGCCATGCTCATTATCTTTCTCGTTCCTTACCCTTCTCCCTCTGGCTTTTGCATGGGCTGTGCCCTTCTCTTCTCTGCTCGATACTGGCACGCAATCGATCTTGGCCGCAAGGTCGAGCGGTAATGCCACAGTCAGCTATTCTGACATCCCGAGCGGCCAGGACTACGTTGCGATGAGCTGGTTCGCCGGGTGGGACGCGGACGGCAACGATCCCCATTTCTCGGTGACGAACATTAGCTGGGAAAAATATAACGTGGTGTCGTACGCCATGGCGTGAGTAGCCTGTCCATGCGTTTTAAACGCCCCGCTCACTGGTTCTCGCGTTTTGTAGTGCCACAACGGCGAACGGGACGTTCGAGCTCGACGAAAGCGACCAGGCGCTTCTGCACCAGTTTGTCGAGGAGGCGCACAAAAATGTGAGCCATATTGTCCCTGCTTGAGACGGGGCGCCACTGCTGATCACGTATAATATATTGCAGAACGTCATGGCCCTGCTCGCGCTCGGTGGCTGGGACGGATCGAGATACTTCTCTTCCTCCGTCGCTACACCCGAGGCTCGCAGCACGTTCGCACAGGCGATCTACGACACTGTAAAGGCGTACGATCTCGACGGCATCGACTTCGAGTACGTCACCCATATTTTGCTACTCGCCGTGGTATTGAGTGCTCATCTTGCGCAGCTGGGAGTACCCGAACAACAACGTCACCTCAGTGGGGTGCAACGTCGTCTCCCCATCCGACACCGCCAACTTCCTCTCCCTCCTCCAATACCTCAGCGCCAACGCCTCCTCGCACGGCGTCCCGGACCTCATCCTGACCGCCGCGGTCGGGCTGCAGCCATGGCTCGGCGCGGACGGCACGCCGCTCACGGATGTCTCGGCGTTCGCGGAGGTGCTGAGCTTCGTTGAGATGATGGCGTACGACGTGTGGGGCAGCTGGTCGGCGCACGTGGGCCCGAACAGCCCGCTGTACGACGCGTGCGCGGAGGCGGCGTACCAGAAGGGCTCGGCGCAGGGCGCCGTGGATGCGTGGACGCAGGCGGGGTTCCCTGTGGGCCATATCGTGCTGGGCGTCCCTGGGTATGGGCGCAGCTTCGTCGTCGACAGATCGGAGGCGCTCGAGGCCGAGGGATTCGCGCTTGAGCTGAGGGCATACCCGACGTTCAGCGGCGTGCCTAGTGGCGATAGCTGGGACTCGGACGACAGTCCGGATGCGTGTGGGGTGGTGAGCGGGTATAGTGGGGTGTATGATTTCTGGGGGTTGGTGGAGGCTGGGTTCCTTGATGAGGACGGGTCTGTTGCGGGGGGTATTTGGTATCGGTATGATAATTGCAGTCAGACGGTGAGTGTTGGTTTGTGTGTGGCGTCTGGATGAGGGAGCTGAGGAGTGTTGGACGTAGCCTTATGTGTGGTATAACGGCACGCAGGTCATGGTGTCATATGACAACGCGGAATCGTTCAGTACGTGTCTCTATCGTTGTTGCTGGCCTGCGTTGTGGTTTGCTGATAATTGCGTGCAGGGGCGAAGGGTAACTTTATCAAGGATAAAGGCTTGCTGGGTTTCGCGATATGGCAGGCGGGTAGCGACTATAACAATATCCTGGTCGACTCCATTCTGGAAACTGCGATAAGCAGCTCTTGATACCCGGGAAGCTTTTCCACTTCACTTGTAGCACAGAAAGAAATATCCTCCTCTCGCTCTATGCATAGTCATTATGGTGAATGCAGTCTGTACGTACTATGGCGGGTAACTTGTCACATGGGTATCTAGTACGCTATAGCCTCTACAGCTCCTTCATCAGCCTGATCATGTCCTTGTTCCTGAAGAGCTCCCCGTCCGGCCAGCGGCCCTTGGCGAGCTCGACGGAGAAGCGGCCGAGGTCCTCGATGGGAGAATATGCCGAAGGCGCCAGAAGATCATATATCGGCGTCACCGTGCAGTCCACGACGTTAGCGGTGGCGCTACGCTGGTTCTTGCGGTCTTCCGGGTACTTTGCCGAGGGGAAGAAGTACCCGGGGCGGTAGACGTACGCCTTCATGTTTGGAGAGGCTTTGCAGAACTCGACGAGGTCCTTTTCCGTTCGGCCCTGCGATGCGTCGCAATGGTGAGTCTTGCTAAGAAATGTGAGCTGACGTGTGGGCGGTGCGCACCTTGACCCGCGCCCACATCATCCACGACTTTTCCGTCTGGTCAGCCAGCCCCCCGCTGATGAACACGAACCTAAACGGCTTGCCCTCCTCCCTCCCCTCGCCCACACCCGCCTCCTTAAGCGCGCGCACGGCGCTCATCGTAAACGTATGCGTCATCCGCGTGTAATCCTCTTCATTCATGCCTATCGCGCTCCTGCCAAGCGCCCAGATGCACGCATCATTCTCTGCGAGCTGGCGCGCGACCTCGGGCGGGTACTTGGTGAAGTCGTCGTGCTGGATCAGGGTCGTCTTGGAGGAGGCGTCGGAGGGGAGGACGGCCCATGGAGGGATGGGCCTCCGGGACAAGAGGGTGATGCGCGTGATGGATGGGTCTGCTAGCGCAGCGCGATATATGGCGAGACCCGCTGCAGGTGGGATTGATCAGAATGCGATGCTGCTATTCGGATATGCAGGATGCCCACCGACGCCTGTAACTCCGGTCAGAAGCAACCGCATTGTCCTAATAGTGAATTATTGTGAAAGTTGGATAAGGAGCCTCTTTATTGCTGTCAGAGGACACAATGGATAGGCACGAAGCTTCACGATGGTGTTTTATATGCTGCTTATTGAATTGCACGCATGTTCGGCATCAGGATAGGACATACGGGAGACATACGCGTCTCTCTGGCACGCGCGGCGTAAGGCCGACCGATCTCCATTCAAACACCCGCCATGTCGCCCAGGGATGGCGGGAGGACGCGTCGCGTCGCGGCACGGTCACGTGCGTCTGGGAAGCGTGTCCGTCTCAAGCGCCCACTGCCGAGGGTGTGCGCCTCGACCGCATCTTCAACCGCGCTGGCGAGATAATGCGTTGCAGACAAACACAATTGCCACTGCATGCAACTGAAGCGTTTCAGGCGCAATGGAGCCAACACACAAGCTAGCGAAGAATTGTCCGTGATCCTTTCGGGCAGGCGCCGGCGAGGCAAACAATTGGCGCAAACAAAAGGCCTAACAATTGTGCTAACACGAAGTGGGAAGACACCGAAGGCTGGACAATTAACCCTGCCATGCTCTCCCCGTCATTCCGCAACATTGTCTCCCGAGTACCTAACGTGGAGGCATCGCGCGATGCATCTCAGATATCCCAACAATGAGCGGCGGGGACGCTAACAAAAGATTCGTTTCCGGCTAGGCAACCAGAAGCAAGGCGCGATGCGCAGACCTGCGGTATGTGTGGTGCGACCAGCGTATAAATGGTGGGTTGTTAGGAGCTGTGCCGCACATCAACTGCTCCCCTGACCATCCTTCCTCGGCATCCCAACTTCCGATCAACGATCGTTCATGATGCAGTCCATGCTCTCTCCTCTCTCACAGCCCACCCTGAGCGCCCGCGCTGCTGAGAAAGCCCGCGCCGCAGACGTCGGAATCCGAACTCGAATAGTGCACGACGCCCCGGAATACACTCGAGGTGCGTTTCATCGTGACCGTTAAGGCCGTGCGGGGCTGATTCGCCTGACAGAACCAGCTGCGTTCCAGCCAACGAGCAGCCACCGTCTGTCGCTTCCGCAGCTCGATCTGCGTCCAAATGAGATCCGTGAGGCATGGAACGCCCAGCAGATGGCGAGCATGACACAGCCTGTCAGCAAGCCGCAGGTCCGCGGCCGCCCTTCTCCCGCGGATCTGCAGCACGGGAACATGTATGTGAACTGGGTTCGGAAGGGCATCATTGCGCGTACGTCACCGTCCTCTGAGCTTCGTCGGCAGTGGGAAGCTGAGAAGACGATCTTCGATGCAGGCATCCCGCATATGCAGGAGAAGGAAGTGCCGTCAGAGCAAGAGGAGGAGTATCGGCAGACATTTGACGTGCTCTGGGGTTATGTGTTCGAGATGGACCCTCTTCTGCAGGTCTACGCGTGCTGGATGGCCGAGGAGACTATCCGCCAGCTGATCACCATCGTCAGTCCGTTTCATTTGCACGCTGAAGGCATTAGTTGACCCCGCACTTTCAGACCACGGTGGTGAAGCAGCAGAAAGCATACTTCTCGTCGCACAGCCCGCGCCGTATAATGGACCTGCCGAGCGTGGGCATGTTCCTTCATGTGGTGCAAAAGATACGCGAGGCCATCGCCGAGAAGCAAAAGGCCCTCGTGCGCCAGCTCGACCCAGCGGCGCTGAAGAGCGGGCACGTCCTCCACCTGCGCAGCCCGAGCGCGGGAACGACCGTCAACTAGACTCTTCTTCGCTCGTCTTCATCGGCTGCTGGACAGGCCGGTGTCTGGTGACGACCGGCAGCACACGTATCTGGAGGCCATGCTGCGGAGGGTCCGCCAAAAATATAACTTATGCAAGCGTCGCATGTATTCATTCTGTACGTGGGATAGGATTAGGATGTAACTTCCTGTTGGGCAACTTTGTATCACGCGGATTCACGAATACACGCCATTGTATGACCACTCACCCTCGCTGATGCATCAAAACAGCGCATGGATTGGCATTATGACAGTACAATAAGCTTACGATCAGCCTAAGATGATTACAACTACGGGGCGATCCAGACGGGAACGCTTCCGTCTTCGCGGATCACCCGTTCGCCCATCCGCCAGGGATCCCCCGGACCAGCCCAATCCGCGCCGCAAGCTGCCGTGCGTGCATCGCCTGCAGCCGCTTCGACCGCGCGAACAGCACGACGAGCGCCACGAGGGCGATGGCAAAGTTGCACGCGAAGAACTCGTAAAAGTCCGCGCGCTCCTTCTGGACGATGCGCCCGCAGGACTCCCAGGCGGGGATCTCGCCTGGGCGGGCCTCGCTGTCTGGTGCGGGGCGGTGGGCGGTGCCTGGCTCGTGGGGTGGGGGAGGGGGAGTGTCGGGGTCGGGGTTGGGGGCGTCGGGGGTTGGCGGGGAAGGTGAGGGCGCGGACGCGGGGGCGCAGTGCATGAGGCGGCGGTTGCCAAAGGGCTGGCAGAAGGGCTCGTTCAGCTGCGCAACGGTGTCAAGCACGGTCAGAGCGAGTAATTGAATGAGCTCACGGCATCAGCGGGGCACGGCTCGCACGTCCCGAATGGCCTGCACACGAGATCCGTGTCGTTGCCCGCTGCGCGCCCCAGCGTCGCGTACAATAGCGAGCACACTAGAAGCCTGCGTTCCGTTCAGCAGCTTCTCGTCGCCCACCGCGAGCGCACGCACCATGTTCTCCCGGATAGCTTCATGCTACATGCAGGACTCGAGTCGGTGCGGGCCACCGCCGAATGATCGTGGGCAAGAACAAGCAGCTAGCGTCTACGGCTCGCTGCATACAGGCGCTGGTGCACACTCGACATCCCAGTCAGGATAAAATCTGCTTGTTTAGAAAGGATGTCTCGCAGAGCAGCAGTAATCGAGGAGTTCGACGACGACACCGAGCTCCCCCTCGCAAGCCGCCCGTTGTCAAACACTGGTGCAAAGGGTGCGATCCTCGAAGAGATCTCGGACGACGAGGACGACATTCCTATTCTTGCGGAGCCGACAGCGGGCCCTGCGTCTCCGTCACAAACACAGTTCAAGTCGGCCACTCCTGTGCCTCCGAGGGACGAGCGGACGGTGACGGACATCACACCGTACAAGAAGTGCGTGGACATCGTCTCGATACCGTCCAGATTTTTTTTTAATTTAAACCGAACTCGAATCCTGATATGTTCCAGATGGACGTGCATCTACCCTATCTACATCGACGCAAAGCGGCCATGCGGGCGAGGCGAGCGGCGCATCGCACGCTCAAAGAGCATCTGGTGGCCGCTCAGCAAAGACATCGTCGACGCAAGCAACCGCCTCGGCCTCGGCACGCTCCACGAGATCCACAAGGCGCACCCGCGCGACTGGGAGAACCCCGGCCGCGTGCGCGTGCAGTGGAAGAAGGACGGACGGCTCATGAACCCTGCCATCCGGACCAGTGCGTGGCCCCCTATCTCGCGCTGCTGCATGCGCGCACCGGTACCGATGCCCTTTCTTACCAGAGAAGCAGCTGCTCGAACGCATAGCCGCGCAGATCCAGGTGCTCAAGCCCGATAACGTCCCGCGCCCGCCGTACGACGCGACGACGGCGTCGGCGCCGGCACCGGTCTCGGCGCGCGTGGAGGCGGGCGACGCTGCGGGTCCGAAGCCGGCGGCGGCGACGGCGGTGACGAAGGGTAAGCAGCCCGCCGGGGCGAAGGGCACGAAGAGCGTGGCGGCGTCGGCGGCCGTGTCGATCTCGACGGCGAGTCCGTCGCAGTCGAAGAGCCATAGACCGAAGCCGCCCAGCCCGCCCGCGCCGTACCCGCCACTGACGAGCAGGGTCTCGCCGTACTCACCCTCGCTGCCGTCGGGCGTGCTGATCGAGGCGGTGAAGGCGGGGATGAGCGCGCAGGAGGCGGCGCCGGGGGTCGGAGGGCTTGGTGGGAAGGGGAAGAGGAAGGTCGTGAGGGTGAGGGGATGAGCTCGTTGTTGTACCTTAGGTGAGGATCTGGAATCCGTATACCAACTTGTGTTGACGAGTTGCTGCAAATTGAAGTGTTCCCTTCCCCTGTTGCATGTGCCTACGAATTGATATCTGTATCTCGGATTTTTGGCGACGTTTTCTGTCTTTGGATATGAGACGATTGTACTCACATTGCTTGAGGCCTTTGTGCTGAGTGCAAGGGGCTATTCGAAGATGACACGGAGCTTGCAGTGCGAGTTGATGTCGTTGATCGCGCTCCCGCGTAGGTTGCTCCATGAACGTATACAGAATGTCATGCTGTACGCCAGCTGTTCAATTGTAAACATGATCGTCTAGGAATTGGTACGTGAATCGTAGTTTTCACGCGCTTTAACCTCATATATGCGTTGTCGAGCTTACGCGTTGGTCGCTCCATGAGCGTATCGAGAACGCTCAAGCCGTGCGCGCAGCTGAGATTCATTGATTCTTAAGGTGAGTTTTTAGAGATTGGTATGTGAATCGTCGTTCTCAAACCCTCATATATGCGTTGTAATGGTCAGGCTGGTTCTTTCGAAGGCTCACCAGAGGCAAGGCTAAGACTAAAGACACGCACCGCTTTTAGGCCTCTCGCAGCTCGCACACAGAGGAGATGACTGACACTGTCAGAGGCGGTTTACGCGTCCTCTCCGCTCTCCCGTTGCCAATAGGGCGAGGAACGCTGCCTGGTTCTGTGTTCAATTTTCCCGCGCCGTTCGCCTCTTCCTCGTCTGCGTGCCCTCGCGCGTCCTGGCCCACCGTTATGACGATCAGGCTCCAACCCATTTACTGATTTGCGTGCACGTCTCTGTGCTTGTCTTGACTATTGCCTATCTCATCCTAGACATGGGCCCATTTTGACCATGTAATATGCCGTCAAAATAATCAAACCGGATCTACCTCAAAAAGTCAGGGTCACAAATGGGTCCGTATCTGAGGTGTCTGCATGCACCATAATGGAAATATCAGGATCCACCAAAAGCGCCTTTTGCAAGAACGTGTTCGGAGCCGAATATATTTCGGAGTCAACCGAGATATAAAGCCCCCGTGCATAAGACGAGTTATCGCCCGCCATCGACCCTCTCTCGCATGCCAACATGAGTACTTTCATCCAAACGCCCGTTATCGGTAGTTGCGACGGGACATACTTCAATGATCTGCAGCAACTCACCGATAAAGATGGTGGGTGCTACATTTCCGCTTGTGAGAACTGCATATGTTCACGATTCCGCAGGGCAGCTAATGCTGGACATCACTCATCCGATCACTCGAATTGAGATCAGTTCTGGATGGCTCGTAATTCTCTTTTCTCTTTCACCCGGATTCGGCTCACGCGCTCCCGTTCTCAGGTTGACGGCCTGAAAGTCTCCTACAAGCTCAGACACTCAGGCCTCCAGGACGTCACATTGACGCATGGCTGTTTCTACAGCCTCAGTAACAACACTGGCATTGAGCTGAAGGGTGCGCTAGAGATGACATTGTCATCCAATACCTTTGAGCCCAACTCTTTTCAGACTCGG